ACTTTGAGTCACTTTTCCAATGAAGAATCACTAAAATACTAAAAGAAAATTTTAAAAGTATCTTTGAAACNAAAATACTAAAAGAAATTTTTAAAAGTATCTTTGAAATGCATCATAAAGTAAGTTGGTGCAAGTTTAAGGAAAGTTCAGAGGCAAAAACGAAAGCAGGAGACAACCGAGCTCGGCAACTGTCTTTCTCTCTGGAGGCCTGTGCACGGAGAACCTGGCTGGGTGGCTGCCTGGGGGTGCGGGGAGGCGTGGGAGACACGGCCACATGGGAGACACAACCAAGTCTCATTATTTCTACCCCTCTCTAAGGTTGACTTCCAATTCTTCCCATTAGTTTTAGCTGCATAGAAAGCCTATGCTCCAAAGGGCTATAACTGGCTTATGAAGGACAACTAGAAATTAATTTGCTGTTTGGAAGAAGGGTACTTGGAAAGGGGGGAGGAAAACGTGCATGGAGGGTCTTAGAGTGGGAATCGGGCTCTCTGGGCCCCTCTCTCCACCGGGCAATGAGGCCTCCTGCTTTCAGATGTTTTATCCAGAGCACCTCCTAATTCCCAGTTCACAGGAGGCTTCTTCTCAAGGTAGTCTTGCAGTTCAAGGATCAAAAAACAGAGCAGTGCCCTCCTTTTAAGTCAACAGCTGAGCTTTCTTCACTGTAGTCACATTTCCTGTTCTTCACTTAATCATAACTACGGACGACAGTTACCTGCTCAGGATTCTCTCTACAGAGTCTGCTGCCCTGGACTCTGGTGTGAACAGGACATCGCTTGGAGAAGCGACGTGTCCAAGGTCACACAGATAGAAACAGAAAGACCTGGGGTGTGGGGTCTGTCCACTCCTCAGTCACCCTAAATTGTAGACCCTTCCCAGTCTTCTGGGCTCTAAGGACCTTGAGGCACTTAACTATCTTGGGTGGCCAGGGCACCCCGAGGTGCCGGCCCACAGGAGGATATCCCTAGAACCAGTGAATAAATCTCCGATGTTCAAGGCTGCCACCATGCCGCCTTCCAGCAGCTTGTCGATCAGTGTTTACTGCCCATCCTGAGATGACTCTTGATTTGTTTGTCCTCTTGATAAGTACATGCTCGCTAAAAACTCAAAGTTCTCCCCTGGTTTACCCTGCCACTCATTTCCTTGCTCAGACTGTCGGTTTAGGGAAACTGCACAGAGGAAAAGGGAACAACTTGTCCACTGAACTGTCAACCAGGGACACGAGATCTATTTGGAATTTTCCATTCAGGGCAATGTCCAGCCTGCTTACAAAGCATCAGCTGAGGCTCAGAGAAGACCAAATACAACAGAATCCTTTTCTTGTGCTAAATGACTCCCTCATTTACATTCTCACCAGATTAATTCTTTGTTTCATCCTTAACTGAAGTCAGGAAAGGCTCTCAGCAGTGTCACCCATGTGATTCAGCCCTAACATGATTCAATGCTCATAACTCCATCTGCTGATAAAAGTCCATTTGACACCAACACTGAGCTGTTATTTTTCAAATAACAACAATAACATTTAATTACAACTTAACCTGGGTGCTTGCTTTCACATAACAACGCCTGGTACACGGACCGTTTCCTGACTAAAGGAACAACTGACATCCATGGAGTTGCTGAGTTTTATTTTTTAATTTTTATTTCATTTTTTTAACCCTCACCTGAGGATATTTTTTCCATTGCTTTTTCAGAGAGAGTGGGAGAGAGAAACATCAATGTGAGAGAGACACATTGATTGGTTGCCTCCCACACGCACCCCAAGCGGGGACCAAGCCTGGAACTGAGGTACGTGCCCTTGGCCGAAATCAAACCGGGACCTTCAGGCTGTGGGCCGACGCTCTAACCACTGAGCAACCCAGCTAGGGTGAGTTGCTGCTTTTTAAATGAGCTGCACACTAGAGGTGTCTGATTATGCATAAAACTCTGTCATTAATGGCTTGTATTTCAAGTGGCCTGAAGGGTCAGTTGGGCTTTGGTCCTTCGAATAGGACGGAAGATCAGGTTAAGTCTTTGTTGGGCTATCACAACTGCTTTGTAAGGATGACTTGTATAGAGAGAGCCTACAAAAGCCCTCCCAAATGACTGATTACATCTCTCAATCCCATTTGAACTAAAAAGATAATATAAGAAAGCATCTAGCACCATGCCTGACGCACAGTAGGAACTCAGTAAATGCTAGTGAGGCCTAGAATGCAATCAATAACCATCACCTAGTATGGAGGGGTGATGGAAACTTTGCAGGGACTCCTGACGTAGCGACAGGGGATACGATCTTTTCCCAGTGGCTGGTGTATACTCGAGTGGTTTAAACTGTGGTGGTGGTGGTGGTGGTGTGTGTGGTCATCTCTTTGTATGTGGATTGGACTTAAAAAATGTTACAAGCTTGATAATATTTAGGAAGCATCTACTACTCTTTTAGGCCTGACTTTCCGCTTCAGCGAAGAAAGTAAACAAGAGGAATGCGGGGGAGAAAGGGTGAGAGGAAAGGAGGGAGGGAGGAAAAACGAACAGCAGCGAGTCTCCAGTGCTTGAGGTTCACCGATCGATCTCAGATCTACTCAGAGCTGAGCAGAGGCCCCATGAGGAAAAGCAAATCGAACCAGGTTTCTGCAGGCTGGTTTTCCACCACGTTTTCGCATCTGTTGCCAACGCCCGCCCCCCCGTGGACAGTCCTCAAACTGCCTGTATTTTCTAAAAGACCAGGAAACTTGGAAAGGCTCAATCAGCAAGGTAAAAATCCCTAGGCACAGATCCTTCATGATCTATCCTCTGCCAACCAAGACAACCTCCTCTCCATGTGCTCCCCACCAGCACTTTAAGCTCCAGTCATAGCAAGCTTTTGTAGCCCCCCAACAATAGCATTGATAAGAGACCAGCCTGGGGATCAGACCAGGGTTCAAAACCCTAACTCCCTTTCCCCCTAGCGGGGGACTCTGGGTGACTCAGCTTGGACCTCACTTGTAAAGTGAGGACAGTGATGTACCTATCTCCTAGAGACGCTGGAGAGGTGATTGAGGTAAGGCTGAGAAGCGTCTTACAAATGCAAAGCTCTCCAGTTCCTTTGAGCTGCTATTTGTAAGCTCATCGTGTGCTTTCCACCTCTGAGCCATTTATTTAATGAGCATTTATTATGAACTACATGGATGACAAATAAGGCACAGTCTTTAAAGACCTTGTAGGCAGGTGGAAGAGGGAGAAATATAGACACATAATTCTTCTATTTTTAATTTTGCCAAAGGCAGTGGTTAAAGTTAAAGATAGTTTGAGATCTCCTCCAACAAGCAAACCTAAGATAAAGGATGATAGACTTTATTTTGGGAAGTGGTCCTAGGAAATAGAGATGGAGGGATGGGGGCCTGGGAAGAGTGAACCTGGGCAGGAAGGAAAGTCACTACAAGGTGCTCTATGAAGCTGGATCACGTGGGCAGTTGGGTTTGATCCCACTGGGACTCAGGAGCCACGAGGAACGTGCCTCATGTTGACCTCCTGAAGGGGGACACTGATTAACCCACCAGCTCCGAAGCCCCAAAGGTCAACAGCTGCATCTTGGAGTGTGAACTGCCTCGCCTCCCAGGTTTCTTCCCAGCCCATTTCTGCAGGCATCCAATGCCTCAAAGTCAGGCAAGAGAGGGACGAAGAGTGAGAGAGGCAGGACAACTGAGGAAGTGCAGCTCACCTCCCGAAGGCCCCACCTCCTCACGTTACCTCCGGCAGGAGGGTTTCAACATATGAATCAGGGGAGACACAAACATTCAGACCACAGCACGGGGCGATGGAACAAACCAGTCCTACTTTTCTGAGCCCCCGTCTTATTTCCTATAAGACTTGGATGTCACCCTGAAGAATGAATGCCAAGAACCAAGAAAGACGCCTCAAATAGTTAGACACAGAAATGCCCGACGACGGAGGAGCAACCTGCTCTGAGGAACAGATCCACAAGAACTGAAAACAGGTACCCAAATGTCCGCAGCAGCACTATTCGCAGCAGCCAAAGACGGGAACGACCCAAATGTCTCTCAACAGATGGATGGAAGAACAAAGTGTAGTCTAGACAAACAATAGAATGTTGTTCAGCCACAAAAAGGAGTGATGTCCTAACAGCTGCTCTGACATGGATGAATCTCAAAAACACGCCAAGTGAAAGAAGCCAGGCACAGGAGGCCATGTAGTGCATGATTCCCGCTACATAAAACATCCAGAACAGGTGAATTCATAGAGACAGAAAGCAGACTGGTGGTCTGCTTAGTGGGTACAGGGTTTCACTTTGGGGTGATGAACATTTTGGAACTAGACAGAGATGGTGGTGACGGAACATCATGAACATACCAAATGCTACTGAATTTTTCACTTTAAAATGGTTAATTTTGCGATGTGAATTTTATCTCAAAAATTTTTTTAAAAGAATCAAAAAAGAAAATGCATGGTACAGGCCTGTAAAAACAGCAACCTGGTGCCCAGGGTTCTGAGCTCAGTTCTGCCACCTATTGGCAATGAGGGGGCTAAGTAGCCTCGGTCTCCACCTGTGTAAAACAAAGGGTAGGATGGGTCACTGGTTCTCAGTGAGAACAGCCTGTGTCACTCCCATGGAGAGCTGCTTCTAAATGCACAGGGCCAACCTGCAACCTCAGATTCTGACGCGCCCAAGGGAGAGTTGTGCCCATCACTGTGTTGAAAAAACGTATTTCAGGCCCTGCCCAGGTAGGTAGCTCAGTTGGTTAGAGCATCATCCCAATACACCAGGGCTGTGGATCTGATCCTGGTCAGGGCACATACAAGCCAGAAGCAACAAATGAATGCAGAAATAAGTGTAATAAGTGGATGTTTCTCTCCTCGTGTCTCTCTCTCATATCAAAAAAAAACAAACAAAAAACGTATTTCAGGGCTTAAGTCTACCCCCTTTTGAACACAGCAGACTGAAGCCTGCTAGCAGCCCGCGGTTCTAGTGCATTCATCTGTAACTGTGTATAAGACGCGCTTCAATTACAGACGACAACACATCAATGAAGTGCATTTATTAGGAAGATAAACTCCAAATAATCACAAGTGGTCCTAACACACACTTGGCGACCGCACAGGAAAGACACCTGACAGAATCCATGGGTTTTGCTTACACCACAAAAGGAGTTTTAAGGCAGTTTAATTCAATGCTGCAAAAACTACATCTGTGACAGAAACGTAACATTCAACAGTAACTCAGGCCCCCAACTGCCCCCGATGACAACAAACCTCTGAACTAGTCGAACCGACAGCATTATCAGGGGCAGATAAACTGTCTCAAAAGCAACTCAGCGTGACACCGACCCAGAGAGGCCGTTCGGAGGCCTCCGAAGCTTAGGTGGTCAGCATGGATGGGTGACAGCGCTATCTGCAGGCCTCCACCCACACGGTTTTATTTCACACAAACATTTTACACCACCTTAGGAAGGCAAATGCACATCAGGTGAGAGGAAAACAGGTCTATCTCATATCACAGACAGAATTACAGAAAACACAGCCAGACGAGGCTACACTGGGATAGTTGGCTTTCCTGGCAGGCTCCTCTCGGGCACTGAGATGGAGCTTAAAAATATGCCGGGGTAAGTTCCGTCTTTCCCTCTGTCGTCACCACTTGGATCAGGCTCCCTGAGCTTGGTCGGTTTTTCTCTGTGATCCAGTCGTGGAAGGTTCTAGAACAAACAAGAAAAGCATTACATTTTAAAAGCAAAAATCTGATATGTGCTTATATTCACATCAATGGCTTGGGGGCTGCTATGAAAAAGCCACTGAGGCATCGAGGACACAGACCAGGCCCTCTGCGATTTCAGTACTTCACTCCTCTAACTTCCAAGTGGCAGGAGCTGGCAAGATTTTAACTCTCATTTTTGTATTTTCCTGCATTGTTGGAGTACTTTATAACACAGTAGTATGATTTTAAGTAATTAAAAAAAAATTTCAGTTCATTCTAAAAGATAGACATGTGCACAATATTTAATACGTTGCTGTATTACCTTCCCAGAAATCTGGGAGAGAGAAAGAAGAAACTCATTCTTTTTATTAACAGTAAACATGGAACCCCACAGCTCTGTCAAGCAATAGGGAAATAAATACAAAACACAGACTATTAGAGTAAAATACATTAAAAGCTAGAACAGGGGCATTTAATAGCCAACCCTGCTTGAGGGAGTCCAGAAGACCCCCTCGAAGAAGACAGAATAGGGAAAGGCCTAAGAAATCCACGAGGTTGAACAAGTAGCTGCTGATTCTTAAGACACTTCCTCTGAGTGTTGAGTGCACCATCCCTCTGACAGTCCCCCAGCTGGGACCCTGAACCCCCTTTAACTGGCAAGCACTCCGAGGTCCTGGGATATTCCTGAGTGTCCAGCGGTAACGCCTGGACCAGAACTGACGTCTAACGTCCAAGTCTTTCGAGCTCCACTCCAGGGAAGGGACAAAGGCTCGAAAAGCAAAGCGCTGCTGAAATTCCCGAAGTGCTGACATGCCGTGACCCCATCTCCAGGGGCCGGGCAGAGCTGGGGGCAGCTCCACCAGCCCACCGACCCCCCACTCTATGAGATCCACACTAAGGTACTACGGGCACTCACAGGCCAGGGAACGCCCAAGACCACCTGCGTGGTTAGGCCAAGAGAACACGCACGTGCCCTCCTGCCCATAGCTGGGGGGCAGGGAAAGGGGGCGGGAGCTGCCGGTCACCGAAGTCATGACTGTGATACTCACTCCACGAGGAAATCCAAGGGCGTCCAGGAGCTGAAATCGGCCTCGGGCATGGACTTCCTGTTCATCGGGGTGTCCAGGGTAATCCTGGGGTGCAGAGATAAGCTCGTCACTTGTGCCTCCCTTTATAACACCAGCTGCCCGGCCTCCTCGGGCAGGAAGACGCGCCGGGAGCCCCTAGCACCGCGGGAGGCAGCATCTCCCATGGGGAGATCCAGGGATGACAATCGGAGAGAGGCCAGGAAGCTGGCAGAGCACAGAGGTCGCCTCCGAGCCTAATTCCATGCGCACTTTGTGGCTCACCGTTGGGCAAACGGAACAAAATGAAAGAGCCACATTTGGGCTTTTTAAAAAATACAGTCTTTATGGAGGGAACCGGCTTTGCTGTTTCAAGTCTCCCTTCACTCCCTGAAACGTGGCAGGCTCACTCTGAGGACTTCTGAAGTGCGACAATAACACCCTTTGGCTATGGGGAAAAGACGGCCTCCTCGTTCTGCGGCTATTTCCCACGAAATCATAGGCTTTTCAGGGAGAATACAGAATCCAGCTGCGTGCGACTTTCCCAAGGACGTTCAGGCCTTGGGAATCGTTCAAAACCGCTGTGGGACCAGGTCACGGGGCCACCGATGCTCACGAATGAAAGGAAGCTGGACGGTCCAGGCCTCCAGCAGTCCCAACAGCTTTGTCATCGGACTATAGGCGAGAGGCGAGCCCGATGGTCCCAGGACCTTTCCAGCCAAAAGGAACTCAGCCTCCAAAGCTGCTGCCTCACCTGCACAGCTGAGTGGGGATCATCCCCATCACCCGCTGACCCATCGTCGCCCAGTTTCCAGTGCCCTCCCTCAGGCTCCTCCCCACCCCGCACCCTCACAGACTAAATACCGTCTCCCTTCCACAGAGCTCCAACGGTGTGAAACACAGAACTACAAGTATTAAAATAAAATGTGTACACTAGCCCTGGCTGGTGCGGCTCAGTTGGCTGGGTGTTGTCCCTTACACCAAAAGGTCATGGGTTCGATTCCCGGTCTGGGCACAAGTACAGGAAGCAATCCACTGATGTTTCTTTCTCATATTGATGTTTCCCTCTCCCTCTCCCTTCCTCTCCCTCTAAAAAATTCAATAAAGACATATCCTTGGGTGAGGATTTAAAAAAATAAAAATGTGTAGGGTATGATTAGGAGAAAGGGGGGGATGGATGGGAGGAAGAGAAGGAAACAAGAAATAAAGAGGCAAGACAGGCAGACCCATCCATCTGCCTGGAGGCTCATGCGACACCCGAAGAAGGCTCTTCAGGGCCGGGGATGAATTTTAGGAGCTGAGGTGACGGCACACACAAGTCCCTGGGGGAGAGCGGCTCTAGGACACGTGGACCCTGGGCAGGGGCGGGCAGAGGCCCCGAGCACTTACGGGAGCACGGCGATGGCGGCAGACCCGGGCGGCATGCCACTGTTCTTCCCCGCGAGGCTCTGGCACAGCTGATGGACGGCGCCCTTGGCCATGCCGTAGGCGATCATCCCTGGGAAACGGGGAGAAAACGGTTCAGTGACCACTGGCAACCGCTGGTGTGTCCAACGACCACCGGGCCAGGGTCCACAGGAAGCCTGGAAGAAGAGAAGGGTGGACATCTACGGAGAGAGCATGGAAGGGACGTAACCTTTCACGTGCACCCCGTCACCTGACAGTTAACATTTATCACAAAAGCCATAAAGATGCACATATTTTTACTTTTATTGTTGAGAAAACCAAGGCTCCAACAGGGTGAACAGCACGCCCAAGCTCACACACACACTTGCACTGAGGCCGCCCCAGAGGCAAAAGGCCAGGCAAGAGCTGGGTTCTGACCCCGTGGATGGTCAACTGCTTATGAGCAAAATCGAGCTGTCATTTGGAGTCAGGCTGCACAGATTCAAATCCCAGCTCTTCCACTTACCACCAAAGAAATCCTGAGCTGTTCTCATTGTCCCTCTAACCTCAGTTACCCCATCTGTAAAATGGGGATGTACTTATTTCTGGGCTCAGCACAGGGTAGGAGCTCGGTACTGTTTCCCATATAAATTCACAGAAGTCATGTGCCCCAGAGCCCACCTCCCCGTGTAAAGTGTGAGCAACTCTGACATATGTACACGATGCTGCCTACTAGTCTTCCTTTGCTCCCACTGATCAGTGACTGTTTGCTGACTGAGCAAGGCATGCCTTTTATTAGGACAGGTTTCTGCCTGCTCTGCAGACACATGGCAGGAACAGGGTCCCTCCTCTCTAAAGGCCCCCATAGCACCCAGCTGTGGATGCTCACTAAATGCTGTAAACACCTCTCTTCCTTCACAAAACTTCTTCCAAGAGTCAGCAGCCTCTTTAAAAACAGCCAACAAGCATGCTCTTTAAAGTGTAACAGCCGAGGAGGCATCAAAGGTCCAGAGGGAGGTGGAGAATTATAGCCCAGCCAGGGAACCAATCACTAAGCCGCTTCCAAAGCAAACTCAAATTGCAAAAGCCGGTCAAGGTCTCAAACAGTTATTTAGAAGCACAAGCGGAATATTTCACCATCCCTGGCTTCTCCGTTTAATCAGGGGCAGGGAGCCAACAGTGGCAGAAAGATCGGACAAACTCTGCAGGGATTAAAAAAAACCAGCTTATGAGTCTCACTCATCGAGCCCCATCCCCAGCCAACTCCAGGGCTCACTCTTCATTCAAACAACATGAGAGCCGGGATCTGATGACGCAACAAGCAACCCACAGCTCTAACGGTTTAATTCTACAGAATTCTGCACAATGCAGGTAAGGAGATCATTTGCAAGAAATGGGGGGGGGGGCGGATTTCATAAGAAGATAAACACTTTCTTCCCAATTATAGGGAAGGCAGTCCCTCAAGACTGATTTCCAAGCACAGCAAAACAAAAGTGGTCACCAGCATTTTAATCCAGTTTACCCTCCAGCAGATAATCTACAAGTACAGCCCTGGGAATAAGAGGGTTGGGGTTTCTCAGTATCTTCCCAAGTGAAAAAAAAAAAATTTTCATTTTTGAACAACTGTTCTTGAGTTTGAAGGACTACTAAGCCTCTTCATCATTTACTTTCAAATTATACATAGATTTCCCCAGATTTTTCTGGGGTCTGAATCAAAGCTGAAAGATTTCATGACTCAAATGAGTTTAACAATATCTAACTAAGAACTCAGAGATGAACACATGAACACCTGAAGCAAGAGGACCTGAGAAAAAGCAAGCCTGGAGTAAATAACACCAGTGCACACTTACTGCTGCCTCGGTCATACCTTTCTAAGACATTTACAACCATTAAGATGTCTGTAAGTCACAACCGCTATATAAAGGACCTTATTCTTTATCTCCATTTTACAGATGACAACACTGGGGCTCAGAAAGGTTAAGGAACTTGCCAACTATCACAGAGTATGTGGCAAATATCAGAACAGAAACCCAACCTGTGCAGTCCCAGAGTGTGCAGTCTTAACCAGTACCCAAAGCTATAAACAAAACGATACTTACAAGCCAAAGAAAAGAAGGAGACTGGTTTGTCCTTCAGAAAAATTAGTCTTTCAGTCCTGGGCTTTTTTTTCTAAATGTCAAGCTCTTACTCATTTCTCTGTTTGCTTTCCAGTGCCTCTGCTCTCCGTCGCCTTTAATAAAAATCAGAGCTCAACCAAACTAACATCTGACATTTACACAGCTTTAATGACTGACTGCAACAGCCATGGACTGGTAGGATCATATGCTCCGAGACACGTAGTAAGAAAGTAAGTGGCAAGAAATTGTTGATTTGTAAAAGTCTCACAGTTCAGTGAGCTGCATTAAAATTGAAGATGGGCCAGGTGGGGCGTGGCTCAGAGGTTGAGCACTGACCTAGGATCCAGGAGCTCCCTGGTTCGATTCCCAGTAAGGGCACATGCCCGGATTGCGGGCTTGATCCCCAGTTGGGGCACATAGGAGGCAGCCGATCAATGACTCTCCCATCATTGATGTTTCTCTCTCTCTCTCCCCCTCTCCCTTCCTCTCGCTGAAATCAATAAAGATATAATTTTTTTAAAAATTGAAAAAGGTATTCAAGGTCTCTGGCACACGAAACACACTACAGAGGCCACAAAACAGCCCCCCTTTTATTAAAGAATTTAACTCAGGTAGTGGAAGTGGACACTTTCTGCCTCTGAGCTGTACCCTGCAAACCGCCACTTAAATTCCTTTAACCCTGTCTGAAAGGGAGTATTATGGATTGAAATGTGCCCCACCCAAATTCATATGTTGAAGTCCTAACCGCCCCCCGTCCCTCAGAATGTGACTGTATTTGGAGATGGGTCTTTAAAGAGGTCATTAAAATCAGGTCATCAGGGTAGGTCCTAATGTAGTGACTCGTGTCCTTATAGAGGGAACTGGGACACAGACAGGCACAGAGGGACAACCACATGAGGACACAGGAGAAGACGGCCACCAACAAGCCAAAACAAGAGGCGCCAGGAAGAAATCAAGACATCGACCCTGCTGACACCTTGACCTTGAACTTTCAGCCTCTAGAATTCTGAGACAAATTTCTGCCGTGGAAGCCACCCGGGGTACTTGGTTACAGCAGCCCTAGCAAACTAACCCAGGGAGTAAAAAATGCAAAGGAAACCTGGACCCATCTGATATAATGGGAAAAGCACACAGCTTAGAAATAATTGGGATTCTGGTTCAAAGTAAGATTACAACTTACAAGTGAATTAGCTACACTAAGTTTTCGTTTCCTTACCTATAAGTGGAAAAAGACCAATAATGCCATTGGCCCCAGGACCTGATGAGGACATATGTGAAGCGACCTTTGAGGAGACTCCCATGCACTGGGCACCTCATGCATGTTAATATCTCCCATGCTTACAGCTGCTCCTAGAGGCAGGTGACACTGTCACTAGTTACAATCAAGGAAACTAGGCAGAAATTTGGTCAAACGGATACATAATTTGTTTGCAACCAAGCAGCTGGGACGAAGAATCCACCCCCAGCCTCTCTCACTCTATCACCCAGTTTCCAGCAGCCGAGCTGCTTCCCTGGGACACATGAACACGACGTGATGGTGATAATACGTGTTTACTAACTAATTCAGACCCACTCAACACGATCATTCCCTGAGTGGGTCATGGATAAATAAATCAGGTGGGGGGAGGGCAGGGTACAGCATTCCTTCACCACCAGGAACAGGAGGACACTGCACAAAAAGGATCAGGAGTCCTCCTGAGAAGATTCAGGCCTCAAGGAAGCAAAATCCACCCACACAGAGCGTAAAGGGCTCATGGAAGTGCCCAGAGGCCCCAGTGAGCAGGCATCAGCATTCCCATTTCACAGGCGGGGAAACGAAGGCTTACCAGGAGTCCCATCCAGGGCAGCCTTGGCACCGGCCAAGGTCAGGAGGCCTCCTTCCTTGAGGTGCTTGGTGGCCAGGTGGCTGGAGATGGTGGACGTCCACATGCTCTGCTTCCACATCAGGTCACAGTTTTTAAAGAGAGCTGAGTGAGGAAACAACAGGTGGGCTCAGCCCCTGGCGTGGGGACTGGCAGGGAAGCACAGCTCACGGCGCTGAAACTCAGGCAGCACCAGGCTCTCGGCCCGGGCGGCACCAAGGTCTAGTACAAGCAGCAAGGGCTTTGTGGTCGGACATGCAGGTCCGAATCCAGGCCGCTGGATCGCCCCAGTCTCAGCTTCCTCATCTGGACACTGGCAACATTTTGGCCAATAAGTGAGGACTGTGAACAGCCCTGCGGGACTGGGACTGGCGTCCGTTCAGAGATTGTTCTGCTTTAGGAAGGGCGTCAGATTTGTAATAGAACCTTCTATTCTGCCCTGGCCGGTTTGGCTCGGTGGTTAGAGCGTGGGCCCGCACACTGAAGGGTCCCAGGTTCGATTCCAGCCAAGGGCACACACCTGAATTGCAGGCTCTAGCCCCAACCCTGTGTCCTCCTCACACCGATGTTTTTTTCTCTCTCTCCCTTCCAATCTCTTAAACGCAATGGAAAAAATATCTTCAACTGAGAATTAAAAAAAAAAAAAAAGGAACCTTGTATTCTAAGTCAGGTTTTACTTATGATAAAAAGTGGAGGGAATATTACCCCATGAACATAAAGGGCTTTTACAGAGCTACGTTTTTTATGGCCGAAAGTTTAATGCCGGCGTTAAAGACCCTTTAAAAGAAAGCTGAAATGACAACCATTTCACATTTATTTTAACTCTCTGGCCTTGCTAAAAATGGAAGCAGAAACAAGTGGTAACATATGCAACTTTGGCAGCTGGCAGCTGTCCCCTACCGCTCTCCAACCCCCACTGGAATAACCGATTCTGGCAGGGGTAACCCATGGGCGCTTAAAACCCTGAGGTTTTAGAAAGCTGGGGTTCTCAAGGTGTTTGGGAAGGGGATATTCACACGCAAAGCCAAAGCACCATCCCACTGGTCACTTAGTAACTGCAAGCAGACAAAGGGACATTTATAATGGGCGCCTATCGGCTACCCCCTTGACCAAGCAGCAAATTTGGCATCACTAGGGATGGGCAGGGCCGTGTGATATGGTGACAGTCCCAATATGATTAGTGTGCAGTACTTATTACTCAGGAAGGATTCTCACCTCCAAAATATTTAACCTGAATCTAAGCCCGTCCTTAGATCTAAATTCCAGTTCACAGGAAATACTAGGGCTGGATGAACAAGGTAAATGACAATTTAAAGAAACAGGAAGACACGTTCATATGAAAAATGCCCTGATTCACCAACTCTATCGCCGGAAGAAAAAAATCTAGGTTAAGGGACTAAAAACAACAACAAGATGAGGCATAAACCCTGATGTTTAGGGGGAAGAAAACAAAAAACTACAAAAGCCATGGAATAAATTGGGGAATTGGAATGTGGGATGGATATTACTAATCTTACAGAATCACTGTAATTTTCTTAGACATGATAACATAGGGAAACGAGTGCACTTTGGGGATGGATGCTGAAATCGGTGAAGTGTGAACTTACTTACACGAGGTTAACAAAAAACACCTACACAGAGCACACACGCAGGGAAGCCAGGGAGCAAGGACAGCAAATGTTGGCAGCTACCGAGTCCAGATGGAGGGTGTCGGGCGTTCCCTGAACTTTTCTTTCAGCTTTTCTGTGTGTTTGCAAATGTTCATAATAATAAAGAAGTTGGAAAATGTACTTGGCATTAAAAAAAGCTCAATTCTGAGTTCTGCCCTGCGGAACCATCTCCCCATTTCCTATACATCCCCCGATTCCCAGTAATAGGCCCTGTAACACTGGGGCAGGAATAACGCTGATTTTGTTCTGCCTCTAAACTTCAAGCTCGATGTCCCCCTCCCCGATCCCTTTATGGGAAGCTGTCACTGTGTCTGTAAAACGGGGTGTGCGTCCCTACCTCACAGAGCTACTGTATAGACCGGGACACGCAGGGAAACATCTGGCCTGGCGCACGGCGTGGACCCAGCCCCTGCCCGCAGAGTGAATGATCAGCTCGGAAGGGGACTCACACTTGGACTTGGCGTTGCCCCCAGCCCATCCTCCGGCCACGCAAAGGATCGCATCCACCTTCTCTTCACCCAGGAGCTTGCCGACCGCAGCCGTCACCTTAACCGCAAAGGGCAGAAAGATCATGAATGCTCGGGCAAACCTAAACAGGCTGCCGTCTGCACAGACACTTCACATTGTTTTTCACTCTCTTTTAAGGCGGGTAACGGTATCTGGCAAATAGCAGTTTAAACACTAGCTGTAGGATGAATCTATAATAACCATTTCGGGCAGTAAGGCCCACCTACATTTCAATGTGACTTTTACAAAGCAATCTAGAATCTTCTTTTGAGCACTCTAAAGGGTGGGGCCATAAGCATCCTTGGAATAAAACAATTAATTTAAAGATTGGTAAAAGGTTTAAAAGGTCACCTAGAGCTTCAGTGCCTGCAGCTAACCTTATGCATATTTCTTTCTAGACTTTTCTTTGCAAATCACAGAATCATAATCTGAGATGATTCTACTCTTCCCCCAATATAAAAACCCCTCTAACTGCAACTCCAAGAGAAAATGCTAAAGAGAAATTATTTTCTTAAAGCAGTAACAAAAATAGTCAATGGCAAAATGTTGGTAAATACAGAGTACATGGGGGTTTATTTTATTTCTCTCTCAATTTCTGTTTGACTGAAAATTTTTAAGTGTTGAAAACACATGTATGTCCTTCTGCTACAATTTATTAAAACAAAAGTTTGGAGAGGGGCCACTCTAGCCATTGGCGAGGGCCCTTTTCCCCATTTCTCAGGAAGGGCTGAGATGACGCCTCCCAATTGCTTCCTTACGATCAGGTTTCTGAAGACTTATCGCAAGACGAAGTATCTGTCTCAGCGGCACATTCCAGTCCCTGCCCTCTCCCAGCAGTGTGTGAGCCTCCGATTATTCCTTCAAAGAGAACGCTTGGCAGTGGAAACCATTCTTTCCTCTCTACACCCCACACCTAGCGATTTCCTTTCAAGAAACCCCTGAAGTCCCCCTGGCCCTATTCATGAGCATCTCACCTAATCCTGACTTTTCTCTGCTGGCCTCCCTCCTGCCACCCTGGTTCCCTGGCTGGGCCCTCCCTTCATTCTTAATCCATGTTCTGTTGCCAAGAGCCCAGACCCCAGCTGCTGGGGGCTGGATCATCTCCCCTGACATCTGTATGTCCTAATTTTAAGAAAGCAAGGGGCCCGCAGCATTTTTTAATTCCTCCCGCTTAACTTTTGCTCTCTGCCCAGTTTTCTAGATTCTGTGCCTTCTTCATCTCTGCATCTCTTCACTGTCACTAGTGAACACCTGCCCAGGGGGGCAATCTGACATGTATTACAGTTGAATTTCCTCTTCTGGAGCTTTACAAACAAAAACTAGATGTCATGCTATTGTCCGGAAATTCTTAATTGGGGGGGAGGAGAAGGGGGGTTGTAGGAGAAGTTAAAGAGTTTAAATACACTGTATAGTCAAGTCTCAGATACAGACAACTTCACACTCAAAAAGCACACAGCCATCAGCACCTGCAGCTAACAAGAGGAGACGCTGACTGCAGGAACACACTGGCAGGCTGCTCTCAGAGCCCAGGGCTGCCCCTGGATTGATTTTACCTTCTGTTACTTCATTCACACGGAGCTGCTTTGCCGAGGCAGCTTAGCATGCAGTTAGGAGAGCAGACATCCAACCCCCACTGCCCGGTTCAAATCCTGGCTGTGCCACCTACCACCTGTTTGACCGTGAGCAGATACCAGGGCCTTTCTGTGCCTCAGACTCCCCATTTCTAAAAGGAAGATAAATCAGAAACTTTGTTCTGGGGTGTTACAGATATTCAGCAAGTTAACGTGAATACAGCACTTGGAATGGTGCCTGACACACAACAATGCTACGTCAGGTTTTCCTATCAAGCCTGGTAAGGCCAATAGCACAGGAAACATAGGACCGTATTATAAAACGTAAGAACAACAAAGCCCTGGCCTCTGTGGCTCAGTTGGTTGGGCGGCGTCCCATACACCAAAAGGGTACCAGTTTAATTCCTGGTCAGGGCAGGGCACGTACCCAGGCTGAAGGTTCAATCCCCGCGCACCGGAGGCAACCGATCGATGTTTCTCTCTCATATTGATGTTTCTCCTTCTCCCTCCTCTCTAAAATAAAAAATAAAATATATTTAAAAAAAAAAAAAAAAAGAACAAAAATCCACTGTCTGGAATAAGGGAGCTGGCTTTTCATATTCCAACCTATGTCTAACTGATGCTTTCAAAAGAGAAAGTGAGCAGGGCAGTATGCTCAAGATTTAGGGTGTTCTTATTTTAAATTTATACATGTGCACGTTTGGAGAAATGGACTGGAAGGAAATCTCACAACACATTAACTGCATAATGGGACTAGACACAATTTCCCCCTTCTTTTGGTTTTACTGTATTTCCTACATCATGCATCACTTTTTAAATGTTATAAAAAATAGCTGAGGAGCCCTAGCCCATTTGGTTCAGTGGTTAGAGCGTTGGCTGGAGGACTGAAGGGCCCCAGGTTGAATTCTGGTCAAGGGCACGTACCTCGGTTGCAGGCTCGATCCCTAGCCCTGGTCAGGGGTTGGGCGGGAGGCAGCCAACCGATGTGTCTCTCTCACGTCGATGTTTCTCTCTCTCTCTCCCCCCACCCACCCTGCACCCCTTCCTCTCTCTGTGAAAAGCAATGGAAAAAATATCCTCGGGTGAGATTAAATAAATAAATAAACCAATGTAGGCTGCTTTTAAAAAAAGTGCTGTGCTCAGATTACTAGCGAGGGCATAACTAAATGAAAAACAGTCCCTGGACTTATTATAGTTCTTAATAAACTGTGAACAACTCTCTTGTTAGGAGATCCATGCTCCCAACTCTTCCACTAGCTAGCTTGTTGGCTGTGTCAGTTAGTGTCTGAAACTCAGTCCCCTCGGCTATAAATGGGGCTGCCATCCGTGCCCACCTGCCTCACTGAGAGCCCATCTCACAAAGAAGGATGTCATTTCCTGGGGAATGCGGCCTGAAGCCCTGGCCGGAAGACCACACAGAGCATCCTTCAGGTGGCCTGTGGGAACCATCGACGAGCATCTCAGCTACTGATACCAACACATCCATCAAGCTGCTAACAGCTTCCTTCTGGGAGGGACACGGTCTCGGGGTCACAGGGGCACTTCACCACTGACTGACACATTTACAGAGTTTTGTTTGACTTCTTGTTGTACAATAAGTACATCACTTTATAATTCAAAATAACCTGTTTTGTTGGTATTCTTGCTTTGAACTAGAGAGCTCCACTCTTTAGAATGTATCCTAAATAAATCATCGGTAATGGGGAAAAAGACGTTCACCACTTCTTAATGGTAAAAATAAAAAACTGCAAAAAAGTTAAATGTATAACATGTGGGAACTAAAAAAACTCTGGCCAATCCACAAAATTAAACTACACAGACAGGTGTGTTTTTTTAAGTGATCTGAAGAAGTACTGAAATTAAATTTTATTTAAGTTTTTTAAAAGCTGATCATAAAATATAAAATACAAGATTATCTCAACTTGCAATGCTAATAACGTTTAGTATCCACAGGAAAGACAGGAAAACAGGACCAAATGTGAGCAGTCGGCTAACTAGAAACAGATAATAGGTAATTTATCTTCATTGTGTTTCTTTTTCCACTTTTTCCAAATGTCCCTCAATGGGTACACATGGCTTTCATAATTAGAGAAATAATATTTGAGAAAGGAAGAACACGTCACCCATGGGCACCTCTCCCCAGGCGTGGGGGGGCCTTCTCTGGAACTACCTGGTCAGCCTGCTCGGTGAACGAGTCTGTCATTTTGACGACGACGCTGGCACTGGCATCATCATTCTCTACCACGTCGATGCTGGCCACCCACTGCAGCAAAGAAATAGCTCTGGTCAGGAGGCGACAAGCTCTTATTCCTTTAAAGGTCCATGCCCAGAAATGGGGGCAGTGGAGACAGAGGGGAGGCCTAAGGAAAACCCATGAGAGAAAGGGTCTAGCTACTGACCTCTGGCACTTACAGGGAGGTCTGACCTGAGCCAGTCCACGCCAGCCCAGCCCAGCCCAGCCCAGCCCATTCCACCTCCAAAGGCCTCACTTTCCTTTTCTTCCACTCTCACCTCTGAAAGCCAAACCCTGCACTTCCAGAGACCCTCCTCAAGCAGGGTCTGCAAACTTTTTCTGTAAAGGGCCAGGGAGGAAATATTTTAGGCTGTGCTGGCTCTGTGGTCTCTGTTGCAACTACCCAACCCTGCTGTTACCGTGGGAGAGCAGCCATAGGCCACAAGTGAATGAACGAGCGTGGCTGTGTTCCAAAAACATTTCACGTGCTGAAATATGAATTTCATATCATTTTCACACATCACATAATATTATCCCTCTCTTGATTTCTTTTCAACCATTTAACAACGGGAAAGCAGTCTTAGCTCTTGGGTTGTACGAAAACAGACGGCAGGCTGGACTTGGCCCATGGATGATGAGAGTTTTGGACCCCTGCCCCAGAGCACAGAGGGAAGGATGGCTCTGGGTTCGGGAATCAGGCAGACTGGGGTTTGAATCCTGCCTCTGCCATACAGTGGCTTTCTCGAGCTCATGCTGCTAAGTGAGGGTTAACAATGAACAGGGCGAGTGTGAGAATTAAGTGAAACAGGAGGCTACGGCTGCCAGCACAGGTGACACATGGTTCTTAGAAAGCTCCAGGGCCCTGGGGTCTGAAGGCCCCAGACATAAAGGTCTCTACCTACCACAAACTTTGAAGAACACAGCATCCATTCAAGAACACTCACTTCTTCTGTCACCAGCCAAGGGAGACACTGAGACAAAGAAAAGTTTCTATCCCAGAACTCCCAGGAATAAAGGGGGTGGGACAGCCAAAGGTACACCAGTTCACCAAATTCCACCACCAACTCAAAGGTAATACAAAGCACCCCCGCCAGGGGAAAGCACAGCCCTCACGTGTGTCACATGTGGATACCAACAGGACTACTGTAGTAAAATTACTGGGTAGAGTAAAAGAAAGTAAGAGTATGTAAGGGCCTGGCTGGCGTGGCTCTGCAGCTGAGCATCAGCCTATGATCCAGGAGATGGAGGTTCATTCCCCGCCAGGGCACATGCCCGGGTTGCGGGCTAGAACCACAGTAGGGGGAGTGCAGGATGCAGCTGATCAATGACTCTCTCATCATTGATGTTTCTCTCTCTCTCTCCCTCTTCCTTCCTCTCTCTCTGAAATCAATAAAGACATATTTAAAAACAAACAAACAGGAGTACGTAAGGGACCTGGTATGTAGGAACACAGTGCCTGGCCTGGCTGGAACTCCTCACACGTTACAGTTGTCACCGCCTTCCTTCCGTCCATGCAGACTTCCTAGGTTCCAGGGCAGTGTATGGCAGGAAGGGGGGGCAGCATGTTCAGAATCACTTAGAAGCATATTCCTAGACCGGATTCTGAGCCAGAAGAAAGCCCTGGGCCCCCCCTCCCCCCCGGTCCCAGGGCACCCTCTCCCAGGCTGCTAACTGAACCCTCAGGAAAACTCCCCAGAGCTCCAGCTTGGACTTTGAGCAAGTGACAGGAGGCCACAGGGCAGAGTCTCCGCCGGGAGTGCACCGATCCCCGCTCAGAGGCGGGGGTCAGGGTTCCTGGCCTGCGACCCGCTCAGCTCCCACCTCCTCCTTCAGGGAGTGAACAGCTGATTGTGCAAAGTAGCTGAAATGGTCCCCGAAGCAAAGACGCCGCCAGTATTTGAGGGGCTGAGCCTTCGCTGCATCGGGGTCCACTGGGGGCTAAATGGACAGGGGTGTAGATAACAGGGGGAGGAAGAAACCTCTCCCCTTCCTCTCCCCTTCTAGGTTCTTCCAGCTGGTCCAATAATGAAATCAACCAGGCGGAGGTTAACAAGAGGAAATAACCAAACGTAATTACATCGGTACATATGGGAGCCCCGCACAGGGAGGTCAGGGGCAGACAGCTCTGCGTGAGAGCTGAGGTGGGCGCCTCGGGCCTCCAAGGGGAGAGAGGTCATTTGAAGGACATAAGAGAAGCAGATGTCCGGTATCGGGAAGCTGGCACTGCCCTGTAGGTAGGTAGGTCCTTAAGAAATATTTCTGGTAATACCTCTTCTTATGGGCAAGGCCTCTAATTTAAATTTTTGAAGGGAGAGGGAAAAGTTTCTCCCAAACCCACAAGGTCTCTGTTGCCTGAAGCTCAAAATAACTCCCCCGAGTGAATTAAAGTGAATTCACACGAAATAAACGCGAGCCAGTGACACCCACACGCTGGGAGCCTCCTGTGGGCCCCCCAGGACGCAGGGCAGAGGCATCAGGAGCGGCGGGCACCGGGCACCCACCACCCACCACCTTCCACCCGGCGCGGGCTCCCCGCAAGCGAGCGCCGTTTCCTCACCACCCCTAGGGGCAAATGCACCGGCACCCCCATTTTACAGATGCGGACCCGGGCCTGGGGAAGGTGGGCGACCGGCTCAGGGCGGCGGGGCCCGCAGCCGGGGTCGGAGGGAGC